AAATCTTAAAAAAAAACAAAACTGCCTTGAATACCAGTTTTGCCACTGACTTGCTGGATGCCCCTACAAGGAACTATACCTCTTTAAGCCTAAGTTTTCCCATCTGAAAAATGGAGAAAATGAGAACACTTGGCTTGGCGGGTGTTCAGTAAATGTTAGCTATTATTAGAGAGAAAAATAATAAGTGGGCATGTAGGTGGCCATCAGTCACACCTAAGAAGTTGTTGGTGAGCATAAGCCATGGTTCAGATCAACCTTGTCCCTGGCTTTTATCTTCCAGCTCATGACCCTGTTCCGGGCCATAGACAAGAACTCTGGAAGCTGAGAGACAGTGAGCTTGTGCCTTCGGAATGGCAGAAGATGGAGAGGACAGAACGAGCCTGGCAGAGCTGACCCCGTGGTGGGGGTAGACTCTCTTCGTAGATGCGTATCTCTCAGGCCTAGAATGCTGTCCCCCTACCTGGCCGTCCAATTTTTCCCACTCTGATTCACCAGCTGAACTTCCAAAGCACCACAGACACACACACTGCCAACAGGAAGGCTGCGCTCTACCACAGCTCTGGGCTTCCTCTCCCAGGACCCCAACCCTGCTTCCCAACATTGGGCAGACATGTGTCAGATTTGCCCCCTGACAGACTACTCACAAGCTGTGTTCACCCCAGGCAAAATATGCTTTTCTTCTATCACAAAATTTAAATGTCTATTTTCCCGGGGCGCCTGGGTGGCTCAGTGGGTTAAGCTGCTGCCTTCGGCTCGGGTCATGATCTCAGAGTCCTGGGATCGAGCCCCGCATCGGGCTCTCTGCTCTCTAGAGGAGCCTGCTTCCTCCTCTCTCTCTGCCTGCCTCTCTGCCTGCTTGTGATCTCTCTGTCAAATAAATAAATAAAAAATCTTAAAAAATAAATAAATAAATAAATAAATAAATAAATAAATAAATGTCTATTTTCCCATCTGAAAACTTGGAGGGCCATTTAACTTACTTTGGCAGCAGCTGCATCAAGTGTCTTAAAATACTATTTTAATGAGAATAAGTGTTAATTCAGAAAATTAGGCACCTGGTTTGCTATAGCTTGAGAACTATCATCTGCCAGCTTTTCCCAGTCATACCTTATCAGTGGATGAGCTGCATGGTTAAGGAGCTGGGGGAGGGTAAGCAGGGCACAATCTTGGGAAATTGTGGAGGAGACCACAGGAAAGATCTATACTTAGCAATAATTATGCCCCAGATTAAGAATGTTAAGCATCCCCAAACTAATGAAAAGTCAAAAGTATAATTAGATTGCAAATTCACCTTCCAAAGGAAGGGTAGTCCCAGTTCCAATCAGTGAAGGGAAAAAGGCCTCATTTTGTTTCCAGTTCCCTTCATAAAACATGATGCTTTCAGTGCAGTCACCCTTACACAATTGTTTACGTATCCCAGTGAAGGACAAGAAATCTTAGAGACAGTGGTAAGGCAAGGAGTCTGTGAGTCCAGAAAAACAACTGGCAGTAGACTGCTTACCATAGCATTTTTAAAGTATTATTGCCAACAGTATTTGAGAAATGTTTATATACAAGCACACAAAAATAAGCAGCTGAATACTATGTTTTGATGGCACCAATCTCCTCCCTGTGTTAAATTAGAACGGTGGTTTGGACCTCTGTGGTCCTGTGTGCTGGTGGTTGTTTTTGGCCGTCTCTTAGGCAACAAGTGCTGCTGCTTTAAAACTCACCGATATTCCCAACTTTAAGAACTAGAAATGTGATTTAATATTAACACACCTACTCTGGAGGAGTCAGATTCCTTCGAAAAGAATGTGAATATTTATCCAAAACCATGAGATTAATGGTGCGGTACAGCTAATTGAAAATGAAACTGGAAATTAAAACCAATTTCATGTTTTAATCAGTTTGGAAGACTGCAAGTATTGCAGCAACGAGGCAAGTAATTTTCTTCTGGAAAATATATAATGATGTCATTATTTTGGTACTTATGATTCCAGAGATGGAGGAAATAAGACCGAGACAAATATTTGCTGAATGCAACAGATAGGTGGCGCTGTGACTCATGGCGGATATGGAATTACACTCCAAAATCCAGGTTTATTACCCAGGCCATGAACCATCGGAATTAGAAAGTCAAACAGAAAGTCGAACCTTATAAAGGTGTCTGACTCGTAAAGAAGCTAAATTTTTCTTTTGGCAAAAAAAAAATTCTGTAACTTCTAACATGTCCACTAATTTTCTATTTGTCTAAAAAAAGTTTTAAGTTAATACTTTAAGCATTTGCAAGGCTTGTCATTGGCCTCTATCATTTAGGGAAATTAAATTCTAATGAAATGTTGGCTTTCTTAAGTATAACGAGTTAATAACTATGGAACATAATCACAAATCCAAGGAAGCTTTGGGTTGGTTAACTAATGGCAAAATGTCAAGATAATTCCACTTGGTAAAGGCGTCCTTCCTCTTTGGCTAGAAATACTCTGTGCTTGGCTTCAGAAGGCTTGTGTCCAATTTCTTGGATCCATCCCCTTCCTGGCTGCTGCACCAGTTGTGGGTTACTTGGCTACTCAGCTGTCTGAGATTTACTTTTCTTCTGGTCTACACCAGAAGTTGTCATACCTGGTGTCCTAGTTCTTTCCAAGCAACACAAGGAAACTGGCAAAGTTTGTCTTCAGTGCCTACCACACTCCTGATTCCCAGTTCCTATTTGTTCTAGACTCAGTTTCCACATCTATAACATGAGTTCAAATACCTACCTCATGGTATCGTTGAGAAGATTAATTGACAGAGTGCTTTGTAGAGGGTATAGCACCATGGTTGGCACTTTGTAGATTCTATAAAATTATTACTGTCTCCTTCCCTTCCCATTTCACTAAACAGACAAATGAATGTAAATTATATGGCAACAGTTGGTAAGCAAACTTCCTCCAGAATATTTCCTTTTAAAAGAGGCCTTCAGGGGCGCCTGGGTGGCTCAGTGGTTTAGGCCGCTGCCTTCGGCTCAGGTCATGATCTCGGGGTCCTGGGATCGAGTCCCGCATAGGACGCTCTGCTCCGCGGGGAGCCTGCTTCCCTCTCACTCTCTCTGCCTGCCTGTCTACTTGTGATCTCTCTCTGTCAAAAGAAATAAATAAAATATTAAAAAAATAAATAAATAAATAAAAGAGGCCTTCAAAGTGAGTAGTCTACCGTGGGATTCACAGGTCCCTTATTAGCCCTCCCCCACTGGGACAGAAGGTATGTGGGGGCTTTAGGCAGTGCCTGGATCATAGAGGATAAGCAATGAACCTTCTCCAGGGGGTCTGCAAGCTGGTCCAGAATGCAGAGTAAGTCTCACAAATACACGTTTAGGACTTTCAGGCGTGTCTTTCTTTAATAACACTGAAAAATACCCAAACTGCAAAAACGGTCATTTACCCAGTCAAAAAGCATAACAAGATTTTCAGGGCTCAAGAACCAACACAGGAGCTGAGGGAGTGAGCAGTTCGCTTATCTTTTCCAACAGTTCAAAGACTACTGGCCTCAGTGACCAGCAATGAGAGGATTAACTTCTGGCTAAAATGACGGTAACTGAGCCCCAAAGTAACATGTAGCCTGTGAACTCTTTCCTTGCTGAGAGGATCCTTTAATCAGTGCTAGCCAAAGAAAGAGTTTCCTAAAATGTAAATGAGAGAAGAGAAACTGAGAGGAAAAAGAAGAAACATCCCCCACTGCATTTCGAAATTCCCTAGCCAGAAAAGTGTATCCTATCTTTTGTTTCTCTTCTGGGGACGGTCACTTTTCACCTGGAATTCAGTCCCTGCCCTTCCTAGGGTATCCTTGAAGAGGAAACTAATACCTTGGAAGGGCAGCTAATTGGTAGGACATTATCATTCGGGATAGTTTAGCGAGGACTTCCTTTCGGAGAAACCTAGAGGGAAAAGTTACTTTCCAAGAGTGTGGGGCTCCCCGGGCACCTCCCTCGGACAGCAACCCTGGCAAGTCAAAGCGATCGCATGGCCCGGTCTCTGGCGGCTGGAAATGTGGTCACCGCGGTCGGATGGCACTTCACACCCAGCCCCCTCGCTCAGGCCCGGCCCGTGCCGTATCTGAAACATGTTATCCCAGTACAAGACCAGAAACTCGAGTCTTGTGTAAACACCACGTCGGCCCATCCCCAAACGATTCCCTTTGATGCCTCTGTTGTAATTATTTATCTCGCATGTAAATCAGAATTCTGCTGACCAATCTCCATGTTTCTAATAAATAGAAAGCTGCCCCGCAAAGTCCTTCTCCTTGTGATTCAGTTTAAAGGTACGGTAACATCCTACACTTCCCTAAGCCGGCCTGCAGAGGACACAGCTCCGGAGACGACCAGCGGGATGATTTGTGTCATCTCTGAACACACGTGGGCACACCAGCTCCACAGGCGGGCACGTGGAAGGGACGCGGAACGAAGAGCAGTTATTTTCCAATCGGTGGGTCGGATGGAGAAAGATGCCAAATGCACTTTCTGAGCCAGCTGAACTCCGCGGGCACCTAATCATTGCCAGATGTGGGGAGGACGCACCGAGAACATCCCCGAGTCCAGGAGGAAACAACCCAGCCGGCAGCACGTCGACTTCTCGGATGGGGAAACGGCACCAGCCAGGAGGAGAGGTCCCCGAACGGAGAGTGGAGTGCCGCAGAGCGGAAAACCGACTCGGGGAAATGAGGATGACTCCCTTCTCCTCGGCATGTTTTTTCAATTAGGAACTGGAATCCGTAAACAACGACTTAGGGCTCCAAACTACTTTGCAGAGACACGATGAGGAGGGGACTACTTGCACGCTCCAAACCCCCGAACATCTAGGTCTCCGGCCGTGCCCAACTCCGGAACCGAGGAGCGTCCCACGGGTGCACGCTTGAACCCCGCGCCGCGCTCCTCTGGCCCTCCGCCCGGAGAAAGTTAAGCGCAGGCTTGCACCTCCGTCCCCTCCCGCGCTCCCCGGAGCCCGCCCTGCCGGCCCGGAGCCCCGCGCAGCCCGCCGCCGCCCTACCTTTCATGGTGACCGAGGAGACGCACGGCCAGTCAAGGAGCTCCGCGCCGCCGAGAAAATTCGCGCTGAACAGCGGGTCACTGCGCGCCCATGGCAGCCGCGCCGCGCGTCGGACGTCTGCGCTCTAGTCCTCCCTCGCCGCCTCTACCGCCGGCCTGCGCTCCCAGCTCGGCGCTCTGTGCCGCCCGGCTGCCGCGCGCGCCGCTCACCCCGGGCGGGAGGCGCCGATCCCGCCAGCGCCCCTCCCCCTGGCCCGCCGGGGCGCGCGGGCCGCCGCGCCCACGCCCCCTCGCGCCCTCCCGCGGGCGCCCCGCCCTCGGGCCCGCGCTCGCCCCTGCCCGGCCGCTCTCTCGCCCAGTCTCTACTCCGCGCGGTGCCTCGCCCCAGGGCTCCCTTTGCCTCGTCCGACCCGCGGCGGAACGAAGTCGGAAGAAAGCGTCTCCCGGGCGGTCAAATGTTCACTCGTGGTGTGCGCGACGGTGATGTTGCTGGGCTTGTTTCTAGACCCCAAAGTATCTAGAACGTGCGGTGAGAGAGTTGAGGAGCAACAGCGTCACGGCGGTGGCGGAATAAGCTTGTCCCTTCCCCAAACGTCTCTGGGGGCATGGAGGGTCAGAAGATTAAACCAAAGCGAGAACGTCCTAGGCATTCAAAGATTTCAGGTGCGCTTGTTCACGCCCAAAGGGAAAACGGGACACAGGCGAGCGCACTCACTGTCCCCCGGGGAGAGCTGTTGCTAAATCCGCAATCACCATGAGATGCTCTCCTTACAGAACTCAGAGCAGCATTACAACTCTTAGACCTCCAAAAGAGACAGAGATCAAAAACCCACTACACTCCCCTGGGTTGGAGTAAGTCACCCTTCTACCCACCACCCCTGAAACTGATCTGAAATTGATCATATTGAAGGAGGCGGGACTATTGAGTGGCTTCTTAGAAAGTTCCTTTCATTGTGGCCCATCATGTAGTCCCAGTGTGGGGGTTTTTCCCCCCTTTTAGAAGCCCCTAATCAGACCCATTTGTTGCTTTATTGCTTTAAAACATAAACTAAGTGTGAGTGGAGCTGTGGAGAGGGAGGTGCAGAGCGACTTCTTCCACAACGATGAAATGCAAAATGACCATGTGCTTACTAGCACACCAAAAGCACTACAATTCTGCCTGGGCGGTGGTTGCAGCTTTTCAGATTTCCTCTCCTGAGGATTTGGTAGCATGGTGTAAACAACCCATTGATTCATTCTAAACAGGGAATTCTGCTCTAGAAAAACATAGTGCCCAAAAAGGAATACATTCTAAAATATTTTAGACTCTCCATTCCAGAAGCCTTCTTTCGAACATCAGGGAGAAACTTTCACCTGACTAGCAGAGAAAAAGACAAAAAACAGCACTTGAAGGGTTGATTAAACTACAGGGTCCCTAGGGACTTGCTCTACCTCTCGACAAGGCACCTGCCTTGTCTTCTTGCAGGGCAAGTAAGGGTTGCTAAAGAGAACCCAGATTATGCTGGGGTAGAGTAAATCCATCAGTTTCTGTGCATAATAATTTCTCCAACTGAAAAATGGAGAGGATTTTGGCTTCAGCATTTGAGTTATAAAATTGTTTTAAAAACATAAATTATAGCTATGACAGCAAGAACACAGTCAGTAAAAGAATATATAGATAAACTGGATTTCATTAAAATTTAAAACTTGTGCATCAAAGCACATTATCAACAGTGTGAAGAGACCACCCACAGAATGGGATAAAATATTTGTAAATCATATATCTTGTAAGGGATTAATATCCAGAATATATAAAGAATGCTTGCAATTCAACAAACAACAACCCACTTCAAAAATGGGCAAAGTACTCAAATAGACATCCTCTGATGATTTACAAATGGCCAGAAAGCATGGAAAAATGTTCAACAACTTTAATCACTAGGGAAATGCAAATCAAAACTACTGTGAGATACCATTTCGTACCCACTAAGATGAATATTATAAAAATAAAAATGTTAAAAAGCAGAAAACAACAAGTGTTGGCAAAGATGTGAAGAATCAGAACCTTGTGCATTGATGGTAAGAATGCAAAATGATATAACCACCATGGAAAACAACATGGTGCTTCCTTTAAAAAACGAAACATAGAATTATCATATGATCTAACAATAGTACTTCTAGATATATGCCCAAAAGAACTGGAAGCAAGGACTCAAACAGATATTTGTAGACCCAGGTGCACAGCAGTATTATTCAAAATGGCCAAAAGGTAGAAGTAATCAAAGTGTCCATCAATGGATGAATGGAAAAAACAAAATGTGGTACATACTAACAATGGAATATTATTCAGCCCTAAAAAAGGAAGGAAATTCTGAAACACACTATACAGTATGAATGAACTGAGAACATTATGCTAAGTGAAAAAAGCCACTACAAAAAGACAAATACTGTATGATTCCTTTTCTAAGAGTTGCCTAGAGTAACTAGGCATAAAGACAGGAAATAGAATGGAGGTTGCCAGGGGTTAGGAGGAAGAGTGAATGGGGAGTTGGTGCTTAATTGTTACAGAGTTTCAGGTTTGTAAAGGTGAAAGGTTCTGGAGATGGGTGGTGGTAATGTTTGAGTGATAATGTGAATGCACTTAATGCCACTGAACTACACACTTAAAAATGGTTAGGATGGTAAGTTTTATTTGTATTTTACCATACATTTTCTTCTATTGATTTACTTATTTACTTATTTATTTATTCTCTTATTAACATATAATGTATTATTTGCTTCAGGGGTACAGGTCTGTGAATCATCATTCATATACAATTCACAGCACTCACCATAGCACATACCCTCCCCAATGTCCATCATCCAGCCACCCCATCCCTCCCCCCCCCCCCCCCCCCCCACCCCAGGTTTGTTTCCTGAGATTGAGTTCCTTATGGTTTGTCTCCCTCCCGATCCCATCTTGTTTCATTTTCCCCTCCCTACCACTCTGACCCCATATCCTGCCCCTCATATTCCTCATATCAGAGAGATCATATGATAATTGTCTTTCTCTGATTGACTTGTTTCACTTAGCATAATACCCTCTAGTTCCATCCACGTCATTGCAAATGACAAAAAATATATATATATTTTTTTTGATGGCTGCATAATATTCCTGTGTGTGTGTGTGTGTGTGTGTGTGTGTGTGTGTGTGTGTATACCACATCTTTATCCATTCATCTGTTGATGGACATCTAGGCTCTTTCCATAGTTTGGCTCTTGTGGACATTGCTTTTGTAAACATTTGGGTGCAAGTGCCCTTCAGATCACTGCATTTGTATTTTTAGGGTAAAGACCCAGTAGTGCTATTGCTGGGTCTAGGGTAGCTCTATTTTTAACTTGTTGAGGAACTGCCATACTGTTTTCCAGAGTAGTTGCACCAGCTTGCATTCCCACCAACAGTGTAGGAGGGTTCTGCTTTCTCCACATCCTCGCCAGCATCTGTTATTTCCTTACTTTTTAATTTTAGCCATTCTGACTGGTGTGAGGTGGTATCTCATTGTGGTTTTGATTTGTATTTCCCTGATGCCAAATGATGTGGAGCACTTTTACATGTGTCTGTTGGCCATCTGGATGTCTTCTTTGCAGAAATGCCTATTCATGTCCTCTGCTCATTTCTTGATTGGATTATTTGTTCTTTGGGTGTTGAGTTTGGTAAGTTCTTTACAGATTTTGGATACTAGCCCTTTAACTGATATGTCATTTGTGAATATCTTCTCCCATTCTGTTAGTTGTCTTTTGGTTTTGTTGACTGTTTCCTTTGCTGTGCAGAAGCTTTTGATCTTGATGAAGTACAAATAGTTCATTTTTGCCCTTACTTCCCTTGCCTTTGGCGAAGTTTCTGGGAAGAAGTTGCTGCAGCTAAGTTCGAAGAGGTTGCTGCCTGTGTTCTCTGCAAGGATTTTGATGGATTCCTGTCTCACATTACCATTTTCTATATTTATATTTTGTTAGAAAAATTTCTAACAAATTATGAGATTAAAAAAATCCCACAAAACCCAAAACCTATGATGTTTGTTATAATGAACCAAATTTGTGATGAAAAAGCAGGCTTGGCAGTTCTTTAGAGGACAGTTTCAAGGAGCATTCCTGGATGATCACCTCCTTCAGCACAAAAAGGATGGAGCTCCTTGGGTATGTCCCATAAGTCCCCTGCCTGCCACCTCTTCTGAGTCCCACTCGGGGCGTTCATAGGATGAAGGTTGTGGACACATACAGATCATCAGCCAACCAAAATTTCTCTGGTCAAGATCTATGAGAGAAGTTGAGGATTGAACTGGGACTTGGGAGGAGAAGGAAACAGTACAGGAGAGGAGGGAGGATGGTGTGGTTAGGAAGGACTGAATCACACCAGTGAAGACGCTTTGAACTCCTTAGCAGAAATGGGCTACAGGGCTTCCAGGTCATGCTCAGGCCTCCCCACCTTCAGCAGCAGCAACTGTAACCTACATTCACATTATAAACCTGGAGAAGGCATCATGTCATTTAATCCTCAGCCCAACCTTGTGCTAAGTATCTCCTTTTTAGGAATGACAAAGCCCTATCACACTTGCCTTCTCTCCTTCCCTTAGCTGTTCTCACCAAGCTCTGCTTCCACCTTCAGAACATGTCTCACACGTCTCCACTTCTCCCCATCTCCCAGGTAAAGACCACTATGCCCATCTGGAATTCAGCAAGAACCCTCCAGGCTGGCCTCCCCATGCTCCCTGTTGCTTCTTCTCTGCTTCAGGTTCCAAAACCCAGCAGGCTGAGAGGCAAGAAGGACAGAAGAGAGATGGGAAACTCTATAGTTTCCCCAGCCTAGGACCTTTAGAGAGGTTCCAGGCCATGATATGAGAATGGGGAACACAGGTTGAACACAAAGAGCTCCTTGAGTGAAGGAGAAGCTGAGAGGGCAGGGAGACCAAGGCAGGACAGAACATTGGAGGGGAAGGAGTGGTAGTCAGTTTGCACAGGGATCAGTCCAATACCTCGATCTCTGACCATCTCTGTTTCCTCTCTGGCAGGCAGCCAGTACCTTCCAGCAACTGTCTGTGCTACCACCACTTCCCATTTACCCACTCATTTCTCTTCTGTCCTTATGCAGTCCCTTTTGTTCCATTTCAGCCAAGCTATTTAGTGTCTCCCCAAACATCAT